TTTTTTTTTTTTAATCCCTCCACTCAACATGGAGCTCAAACTCACATCCCCAAGGTCAAGAGTTGCATGCTCTTCTGACTGAGCCAGCTACCACTGATGTTTTGCTTTTGTATAAATAAAACTATTAACGTAATTTCCATTTTGACCAATGAATAAAAGAATTGTTGAACATTTGGTTACATCTCAAACAGCTAGTGTTTTTGTTTTGCTACTAGATTAACTTCTAGCTCTGGAGGAATATATCATGTTTTCTTTTAATCAAGTCACAGTAGGAGGCTTAATCAGGACGGTATAAAAATGAATGTGCCTGAATTATGAAGCCAAAAACATTCGTCTTACTCAGTCTTTTGAACTTGTTCCTATTAGTCAAAAATTGTAACTAGATTTAGTCTTTCTTTGCATATTTGCTTTACGAGGCCAACTCTGACAGGGAACTACATCTTTTCTGGATCCCAAAGATGGTTTTTTTCCTCTCCTTGTTCGGAATCATAAGTGTGCTTTCTTTTTTTAATTGTTGACTATTTTAAAACTTTGTGATTTAAAAACTTTTCTGTTTATAGGAGTTGCTCTATACAGAAGTCTTGTGAGACCACTGTGCAGCAAGGTGATGATTATACAAAGAGTGGTATTGAATTCCCGACCTGGTATGTATTTGTATCAAAGACTTGGTCTTTGATAATTATTAGTGAAAATGAAGGAACAAAAAGTAATAGTTAATGTGGTAAATTAAGGTAGGAAGATATTAACCCTAGTAGAGATATTGGAAGAAACTCTTTAAATAATATAGTATTCAGTTTTTTAAGTGATCGCTTATCAAGGCTATCTGTTGAAGAAAAAAGGTATTTTAGAATTATTATACTTAAAATGCTATATTACCCAGGGCACCTGGGTGACTCATTTGGTTAAGCATCTTGACTCTTGATTTTGGCTCAAGTCATGATTTCACGGTCATGAGATCGAGCCCTGCATTGGGGTCTGTGCTGACAGTGTAGAGCCTGCTTGGGATTCTCTGTCTGTCTGTCTCTCTCTCTCCCTCTCCCTCCTCTTTCTCTGCCCCCACTTGGACTCTCTCTTTCTCAAAATAAATAAATAAATATACTTAAAAAATATTATAGTACAAATATATATGGCTTTTGTTTTTTATTTGCAGTATGTATTGTTGATTCTTAAAATTTGTCTTTCTGTTCTATGTGAAAAACACTGACCTATGTCTGTGCTGACATCTAACCTGAATCATAGAAACTTAGGTATGAAAATAACCTGAGAGGTTTGGGCCCATGCTGCTTTGGTTTTACTGTTTACTTACTGTGTGGCTTAGAAAAATCACTTACCTTCTTCCCCCCAGCCCCTTACCTTTTCTGACTTCCATTTTAGAAAAGTGAGATGTTAGATTAAAGTGTTTATTCTTTTTCCACCTTAGACATTTGATGACTCAATCAGTAGGAAGTTTGCTTATGTTAACATAACTGAGTAAGAATACACTTCGATGACATTTTCTGCTTACAAATTTTTCTTTCTATATTTCAAATTTTCTAATTTCCTAATTTTCAAGACTTTATTTTAAAGTAGGCTCCACACCCAACCTGGGGCTTGAACTCACAACCCTGAGGTCAAGAATCACATTCTCCACCAACTGAGCCAGCTAGGCACCCCAAGGCTTTACTTTTTAAAAAAATTACATTCATCCTCATGGGCCCCTCCAGCTCAAGCCCATCTCCGCCTGTGGTGTTGCTTTCGTAACCTTGCAGCATCCCTTGTCCACAAATGCCTGCCTATGCCTATCCGAATGCTGGTGCCCTCAGCTGGGATGCCCAGTGATAACAGCCTGCACGCAGCCCCTCCTGCAGAACTTAGCAGCAAGACAATCCCTGCCTGCCACCTAACCCTGATGGGAGATGAGAGAAGCTGGGGCTAGGTCTCTTCTCCATCATTCAGCATATCGCATTTGGAGAGAAATCGCGTTAAAGTGAAGCTTTTGACTCTCCTACATAACCTATCTAAAATTGGATTTGGGAAATGGCTTTGATCAAAAAAAATTTGATGAGCAAATTGGACATTTGAGTCCCATTCTATGTAACACTGTCACATACAGACACGGGCCCATATCAAACTTTCCTAAGACACTAGTACATTCGGAGTCATCTCATAAAGTTAAATTTTATTTTGGAAAAAAAAAATTATGGGGTGCCTGGGTGGCTCAGTCGGTTGACTGTCCTACTCTTGATTTCAGCTCAGGTCATGATTCTAGGGTCATGGGGTCGAGCCCAGAGTCAGGCTCAGTGCTGAGTGTGGAGCTGCTTGGGATTATCCTTCTCTCTCCCTCTGCTCCATTTGCACACGCTCTCTCTCTCTCTCTCTCTCTCTCTCTCTCAAAAAAAGAGAGGGCATCTGGTGGCTCAGTCAGTTAAGCATCCAACTCTTGATTTTTGTTCAGGTCATGATCTCACATATTGTGAGTTTGAGCCCTGTGTCAGGCCCTACGCTGGCATCATGGGGCCTGCTTGGGATTTTCTCTCTGTCTCCCTCTATCTCTGCCCCTTCCCCACTCGTACTTTTTCTCTGTAAAAAAATTTTAAAAATTATATTCCAGTTTCCATTTCTTCTTAAGATGAGGAAGGAAAGTTTACTTAGCTATTTATTTTGGCTGATGTGTTTCTGTTATGTTGTAAAATTTGATTTTCATAATTAAAAAAGATGGCTGTGAGTTTTTACTTTTTGAAATCTTACAATTTTACAACAGATGAGGTGATTTACCTGTAATATTCTTTAAAAAGGAATTTTGAAGTTGATGGCAATATTTTATAGGAACTTCTTGGAGAAGATAAAGAGCAACTAAAACTATTTGAAGAATTTATGCTGAGTTACAGAGAAATTACAGAACAATATAGATTTATTCATGTCTGTATTAAAAGGGAGTTCTCTGAATCCTAGAGTTACCTTTTAAAGAATAATAAATACACTTTGGCTCATGTCATGATCTCATGGCTTGTGAGTCCGAGCCCTGCATCTGGCTCTCTGCTGTGAGTGCAGAGCCTGGAGCCTGCTTTGGATTCTGTCTCCCTCTCTGTCCCTCCCCTACTCACGCTCTGTCTGTCTGTTTCTCTCTCTCAAAAATAAATAAACAGTAAAAAAAAAAAAAAAATCACAAGGACATACATTTAAAAAAAGAGAAATAATTACATAAGAAAGTGGCTTTTTGATTTTATATTTTCCTTAATATTTTAGGAAAAAATGGTAATCCAGTGGCAGAAAATTTCCGAATAGAAGAAGTAAATTTACCAAATAATATCAATGAAGGACAAGTACAAGTGAGAACTCTTTATCTTTCTGTGGATCCTTACATGGTAAGAATCAGGATTTTGTGACTTGGTGAAGATTAATTGTATTTTCATATTTTTTATGTTGCATCTGAATTTCATTGTGCAATCCTCATGATTAATAAATATTTGAGCAATTATATCTTGATGCCTGGGAATTACAGGTTGTCTTTGTTTTTATTCACTTGTGTTGTGGAGGAATGTTGTAGAAGAAATGTTTTCATCATAGTAGTACATGTTAATCCGATTCTTTCAAATGTCCAGATCACTTCCCGGTTGTAAATAACATAGTGAATTAGGCTTGGAAGTTCTCTCAGATTGATCTAGTTTACAAGGCAGGCTCTGAATAAGACCTTTATTCTAGTTCGTTTCTTTTTGAAGGAACAGACTCATGCTATTTTTAGATAAAGAAGATTTATTGAAAGATATTGTGAAGGACTACAGTTGAGAAGTCCTTAGGCACATGGACTTAGTCTCTATAAAGATAGATAGATTTGGGGGCACCGGGGTGGCTCAGTTGGTTAAGCGACCAGCTCTTGATTTTGGCTCAGGCCATGATCTCATGGTCGTGAGTTTGAGCCCCACATCTGGTTCCGTGTGGAGTCTGCTTGAGATTCTCTTTCTCTCCCTTTCTCTGTGCCCCTCCCCTGCTCATGCATGTGCTCGTGCTCCCCCCCCCCCCCCCCCCCCCCCCCCGCCTCTCAAAATAAGTAAATAAACATTAAAAAAGAGAGAGATAGTTTTTTCTTCTTTTCCTGTATGAATGCTTTTTATGTTATTTGCCTGCCTGATTCGAACCTCTAGTACATTGTTATATAGAAGCGGTGAGAGGGAACATCTTTGTCTTGTTCTTGATCTTAGGGGGAAAGCATTCAATCTTTCGCCATTAAATATGTGGGATGTAGATGCCCTTTGTCAGGTTGAGGAGATTTCCTCTTATTCCTGGTTTGGTTTCTGATTTGTTGAGTATATTTATCATAAAGAGGTGTTGGGTTTTTTTATTGTGATAAAATAGATCTAACAGTATGCCATTTTAACCATTTTTAAGTGTATAAATTCAGTGGCATTAAGAGCATTCGGTGTTGTGCAGCTGTTACACGCTTTCCATATCCAGTACTTTTTCATCATCCTAAACAGAAACTCTGCCCTTTAAATAATAAAATCCCCATTATTCCCTTCCCCCAGAAGCAGTTTTAGATTTTGTCATGTGCATTTTCTGCTTCTATTGAGATGATCATGTGGTTTTTGTTTTTTAGTCTATTTATGGTTTGTTATATTAATTAATTTTCAGATGTTAAATCCGTCTTGCATTCTTGGTCCTGGTGTGTTTCCTTTGATACGTTGTTGGATTTAGTTTGCTACTATTTTCTTGAGGTTTTTTGCATCCATAAAGCTGTGAGACTATATTCATGGTCTATTGTTTCCTTGTGATGTGTTTGCCTGATTTTGGTATCAGGGTACTCTGGGCCTCAGAATGGGCTGGGAAATGTTCCCTCCTCTTCTGTTTTTGGAAGAGTTTGTGAAGAATTGGTATTCTTCTTTCAAAGATTGGTAGAATTCACCAGTAAAGCTATCTGGCCTGGGTTTTTCTTTTTGGAGAGTTTTTAAATGACTAATTCAATGTCTTTTTTTTTTTTTTAATTTTTTTTCAACGTTTTTTATTTATTTTTGGGACAGAGAGAGACAGAGCATGAACGGGGGAGGGGCAGAGAGAGAGGGAGACACAGAATCGGAAACAGGCTCCAGGCTCCGAGCCATCAGCCCAGAGCCTGACGCGGGGCTTGAACTCACGGACCGCGAGATCGTGACCTGGCTGAAGTCGGACGCTTAACCGACTGCGCCACCCAGGCGCCCCTAATTCAATGTCTTTATTTGTTGTAGGTCTACTAGGCTTTTCTATTCCTTTTTGAGTTGGCTTTTGTAGTTTGTGTTTTTCTGGGAATTTGCCCATTTCATCTAAGTTGTGTAATCTATTGCCATCGGTTCTTAGTATTTCCTTGTAATCCTTTTTTATTTCTGAAAGATAGGTAGTAATGCCCTTTCTTTTATTCCTGATTTTAGTAATTTAAGTCTTGTTTATTTTTCTCTTGGTCAGTTTAGCTAAAACTATGTCAATTTTGTTAATTTTTTAAAGGACCAACTTTCGGTTTTGTTGATTTTCTGTATTGTTTTCCTGTTGTCTATTTCATTAATTTCTGTTCTTTGTACTAGTTTTACAGCTTCCTTTGAGTCTTTATTTATGTAAAACAAAGTTAAAAGAAAATCAGGATAGCTTATTCAATCCAACTGGGTTGGATCAGTTAGTTGACTATGTACTTTGGGGCAAAAATTACATTCTTAGCTCAACCCCTATACCAGAATAAATTCCAACAGATAATAAAAAAAAAATTTTAAGTGAAACTATAAAAATTTTTAGAAAAAACATGGATAAACAATTGAATGATGTTGGGGAAAGACTTTGTAAGAATGACAGCAAACCCAGCTAATATGAAAGAACATGATTGATAAATAGACCTATTTTTAAAAACATTGTGTTTTGTAAAACACAATAAAACAGGATGTACAAAATCAAAAGATCAATGGCAAACTTAGGCAAATTTGCAATAGAAATAAAAGATAATAATGGCTAATATGCAGAAAGTTTGTCTATATTAGCCTGTGAAAAGTTGGGCAAAGGGACAAATAAGCAATTTAGAATCTCTTTATATATTACTGTTCTTGTACATATGCTTGCTTCCTGCTTTTGGCTTTTAGAGTGCCCTGGTAGGGCACAGAGAACATCCTGGCTGACCTCTTCTCAGGCTTCATTTACAGTGGAGACCCAATTGGCAATACCAATTTTCTGCCAGGATAGTTGTAGCCTTGGGAAGGCTCCTCTTCCCTCTGATCCAGGAGTGTAATTTCAGGCTCTGTCTTCAAGTAACACCAGTCTTAGTTGATTATGCTTACCACGGAAAACAGTTTGACGACTTCATTCAAAATTCTTCCCAGGGTAGCAAGAAATTTTTCTTTATGGGCTAGGGAAATGAAGTGGTGACTGGTCTAGAACATTCTAAAGAGACAAAAGACAGATACCGAGGGATAAATTAGGGCATTGATTTCCCGTAGATCTAAAGATGCTCCACCTTTCAGTGGAAGCCAAGACAAGCTCAGTCAGGCTATCAGCCTCAATACTCTAGACTGTGCTGAGCAAATCACATGAGGAGAATAATTACCCCCAATTCAGGAGAAAAATGGCAGTGCACTATTTAGTATTCAGGGTCAATTCTTGATGATGATTGGTGTGGAGTTCTTAAGACTTCAACACTTCAATGTATCAATAAGACATAGCTCAGGGCATCTAAGGATTACATATGCCCTGATGAACAAAATGTAAAGCATATCATTTAAGCCCAGGATAATAAATACAAAGTAAATTAGGAGAACACAATTTACCCAAATAAAACCAAGGTTCAGGGTTAGAAGGGTTTTAAAAATGAAACAGAACAGTCAAAAAGGAATAGTTGAAAACAAGCAGAAAGGGTATGTTTTTCACAGGATTCTCAAAGTTGGAACAAACTTCCTGTTCAGCAGAATTCCCTCTGAGAGACTTATAGTGAGATAAATTTGTGACCCAAGGATTTTAGGGGTGGAGAGATGATGAAACAATTAAGATTATGACAGGAACTGGATTCATGATCTTCACTTCTAAACACCCCCAACTTCAAAATAACAACAAAAAACCTCTTTTTCCTCCAGGAGAGTATATAGCTCCTCTGTCCACTCATTTCATGCCAGAAAGCACTGAGTTTTTCTTGAGACCGTCTCTTCGTTCTCTGTGTTCATTCTGTATGTCAGTCTCAGGTCCTGTGGATCCTCCTTCCTAAGTACATCTCAGTTCAGTCCACTTCTCAGTAAACTTCAAGGACGTGTATTCAGTCTGAGTCATCATTGTTTCTTTTTCTCCTAATGGAGTATCCTTGCAAACACTCTTCACCCCCTTAGACTGTCTTCCACACTGCAGCCAGAAGTGGTAGTTGTATAATAACAACTAATCACGTCACCTTTATGTGTAATGGCTTTCTTTTAGTCTTGAGATAAAGACTAACATTTTGGGCATGGTCTAAGATGCTAGATAGTCTGGTCACTGTTTGCCTGCCCAGCCTTACTATATCCTACTTTACTTCTTCCTCTTGGATGCTGGCCTCACTGGGCCTCTTTCTTGTGTAACACACCGGTGCCTTTTTTGCTCAAACCTTATATTGATCATGTTTTTCCTTTGCTGTATTTTTTAATGCTTTCGTATCTTAGGAGCTTTCCTAATCCTGGAGAGACAGCTCCTCCCAACATATTTTAGAGATAACAAACAACTTGCCTGGAACACACCAAACTGCCTCCTTCATCTAACTCACACAGGTGATTTTCCCTGCCCCAAATCACCCCAGGGCCTGGTACCAGACAACTAGGGACCACCCCTCTAAAGCCAGATCCCACTGAAATTATTCAAGCTGTCTCTTCCTAAACTTACTCAAATTTCCCTACCCTGTCTTGTCCATTTCTTCCCCCTGAAACCATAATAAAGACTCTGGGCCATGCTCTCCTGTTGCTATTTTTTCTTCCTGACTAACTCTGGTGCTTCCCCCTGTGGCCCTGTGTGGTATGGTGTGCTCCTCCTCTTGGGACTTGTAAGTAATAAACTCTTCTTCTTTTTTGTAATACTTGTATTTTTGTTTTTTTGTTTTTTGTTTTTTTTTGAGGGAGGGTGCAAATGAGTGAGGAGCAGAGAGAGAAAGAGAATCCCACAAGGGGCAGAGAGAGAGAGAGGAGGAGGGAGAGAGAGTGGCGGAAGTGGGGCTCACCCAATGCAGGGCTCGAGCTCACCCGAAGCGGGGCTCTAACTCATGAACCATGAGATCATGACCTGAGCATCATGACCGAAGTCAGATGCTTAACCAACTGAGCCACCCAGGCACTTTAAACTCTTCTTTCAAGGCGGGTGTCTCTGTGTCTGTTGTTCTTCCATACCTGACTACAACAAAATCCTGAGTACAATTAAAACAAGCCTTTATACATGTTGTCCCTCTGTCTCCCTCCCGCTCCTTTCCTGTTACCTGGCCAGTCCCTATTACTCTCTTAAAGCCTGCATTAAAAAGATTTGCTTTGGGGCGCCTGGGTGGCGCAGTCGGTTAAGCGTCCGACTTCAGCCAGGTCACGATCTCGGCGGTCCGTGAGTTCGAGCCCCGCGTTAGGCTCTGGGCTGATGGCTCGGAGCCTGGAGCCTGTTTCCGATTCTGTGTCTCCCTCTCTCTCTGCCCCTCCCCCGTTCATGCTCTGTCTCTCTCTGTCCCAAAAATAAAAAATTAAA